AAAAAGCAAATACGAGTGCTATATTTGATAACGTTGCAGTCAGACGGGGTCGTATCAGGAGGAGCGGGATGAGCCCGCCTAGCTCTACCCACAGTGATCAGTCAGTTATCGATGAAGGAAGGAAATACCCAAAGGAAGGTAAAACTAGGCTCATTCCATCCCTTTGGAAACCGCCCTTACTGATTTAGACATTATCAACTGTAGCTCTACTTGATAGTGATCGTTTTGGTCGAAATGTTTTTGAAAAAGGGGAATCGATCATGTTCGACATTTGCCAGTTTAAAGTTGTCCTGGTAGCATACCGTAGTTGATGTGCTAGTACTTCCAGGGCACACCATGAGTTGAGGATTTTTCAGTGAGAGGTGGTTATAATCAGGACAAAATTTTCTTCTAGTGATTGCTTCTTCCGTTCCAGGACGCGGTACCTCTCGTCCACCCACCGTAGACAGCGGTGCTGTCACCTAACAGATCAATCGGATTGTGTCCTATTCCCTGCCCGACGGATTCTGGGGATCGTATTGGGACAAAAGTCCCCAGCGTGATTACGTGTCCTTAGAACTTTATAAGTTGATGATTCAGTAGAAGTTCCCGGTAGTTCATCTAATGCCTTACGAATAGGTCTGCGCAGACCACAGCCCTTCTTTCAACATTTCGGCACACAGGGTTCTCATGAACTCGTCGCGGTATCTCCAGTTGTTAATGGAAGTCAGCGAATTTTTTCAGCCTGGTTAATGGAAGATATTCACAGAAGGATGTGACAGAGTGACAGCTTGCGAAATTTCACTTCTAGACGAGTTTTCCCCATGGATGCATTTCTACCTTCCCAGGCTGACAACTAATGTTCATGTTTACCTAATGATAATTGAAGGTTGGGACGAGTCATAATTGAGCTCTGTACGGGAAGCCAATGGAGAAAAACAAAATGGCAAATTGTTGCGTTGTTTTTCTCGTCCCACGACGCAGGGAAACCCAGTCACAGTTGGGCAAATGAAGGCAGTTCTGAAGAACTTCACTTGATACGGAACAGAACAAGTTATGCATATGTGGGTGCGAAATCCCATCAGACTAAGGGAATCACAAGCAGGTGTTTTGGTAGGGAACAGGTGCAAGTTGGAGCTGCCGTTTCTAAGGCACTCCTGATCGATTTACTGTTGAAAGGGCTGAAAGTGGAGGTGAAGTAGCTAATTCTTTCCCGTATTAGAGGTGGCTCACAAGGCCATGAAACCTCTAAAGGACCACTGCGAAAGTTATATGGAAGAGCATTCCAGGCAATACATTGAATAAGCATTAAGTACACTTCTTGTGGAAGTGCTGTAGAAGGAAGAGCAGTATGAATCTTGAATCGGGTTCCTGGCAAGGGGTGTTATTTCGAACTTTCGAAACGGTCAAACAAATTGAAGAGAAGGGGCCATTAAATGGCATGCTCAAACATGCGAATTGGAGGCAAACAGCCCAGTGTCCCTGAGTTAAGGAATTCCCATGAAGAACACGATATCTTAAAAGCTGACAGAGCAGTGAAAACAGGTCAATATGTTATTAACTATGAGGTGCTGAAAGACACTTCTCTAGCATTCATATAAATGACATCTCTATCTTATCAGCTTGGTCTTTTATTAAAATGATGGAACCGATTGACTATTTTTGGTTAGGCGACCACTGCTGATGAAGACAAATCATTACGAGTGGGGAGACAAGGAAGAGGGTAGCACCCATCAAACTGTTTGTCTCCCGGGACTGGTATTTTTTAGACCATGCAGGGCGTAAGAATTTGCCTTGTCTCATCGTACTGCTGGTTGACACCGAGTGTTTCTTCATAGATAGGCTCTAGGCTCTCACCATCTGTAGTGGTGCCTGGAATTGAGCACAATCTTGGGCATGCAATGGTATGGCCGCAACTGTATGTTACAACAATTCTTTTTCTGAGTGCATTGACCCTCGACAAGTGGAAAGTCTCTAGACGCTAAACTCTGTGCGGAACGAGCCTTGTTTCCAAGTGAATTCCTTCAACGAGCATCAGAGAAAATGGACTTCATTCTCACGGGAAAGGGTTATGGCAGGTGATCAGTAGAAGATGATTTCCACCATAAGGCGTTCATCACGAGAATGTTAGAGCCCAGCTGCAGCTTCAGAGAAAGCTGAAGCATCGGCTGAATATGGATACTGCTCATAAGAGTCAAGTGAATATCCTGAAATGGGCAAAACAATAGGTGCTACAAACGCTAGCAAAGTTCTCATTCACAGAATTAGAGGTGACTGCGGCAACTCTTAGTTAATCGAAGATAACTTCCAAAGTAGCTCACCTTGTGTCACTTTTAAAACACTTATCGGGTATCCGAGTTTTACATCAAATGTACTGATTTTTGATGATGATGAACAATCTCTAGCGTTGAATAACGTTGACATATTTTGTAGTCGAAGGGGAAGTGAAGCTTCTCAGCAATCACTTCCCCCTATGTAGTAACGACATGACCCGTGATTTTATCTTTGGGAAGTGATCACAGATGATTGAATGAAACAAACAGCTGAGTGTAATAATAGCAATGAATGAGATAAGGGAGATGTGAACCTGCTCTGAGTTGAAATGGAATTGCCTGTGAGTTGCCAAGACAACTCTCATTTAGCAGCACAATCACACAAGCCAGCTGGAACGAAGGCCGCATATGTATGGGCATCGTCATGGTCTTCGATAGATCATAGACATTTCTCAGAAGGGAGCAGAACATGCTAAATTTGTAGGCACAGGAGCATACTAAAATCACATTCTCTTTTTATGTTACACTTAGGCATTCATTCAACATGATCATGAATGCCCTGAAGCTTCACCTTCCTCCACATGAGAAATAACAGAGAGAAATCTGAAGATTTTTTCAGTGGACAGCTGCTATTCCCAACAGTAACGGCCAATAATAAGAGGAACAATAAACACTTCAAGGGGCTCTCTGCTCATATTCGCGGTGACGGCGAACGGAGACCTGAGCAGTTCGGCTTGATGGGGGGTTGAATATCACTCAGCTGAGCGTCATCTTGTGAAGACTCACAAACATCTACGGCCGAAGCGACTCACCTGCACCAACCGGACTCACTTTGGTGACTCTTGCGACTCTGATGTTTCCTATAAATTCTTCAACCGACAAAAAGCGAAATGCCCTAGTTCAACGGACAGCGCCGATTAGCGTTTGGGTGAACTTCGTCATTGCCTGGAGCGCGGACTTTTAGAGTCTAGGTTAGAAGTTAAGATACACTCCGCGATTACTCGACAGGTGAAATTTTTTCGTCATACCACGTACTATAGTCGTTGATCTCGAAATATAAACGGCTTTCACAGCTTGAAAGTGAGCGGCAAGGGAACTGAGACCGTCTCAAGCCCCGAAACGCCACCCAGCACTGGCGCCTACACCCTGATATGGACGGTGTTGCACACAAGTCTATGTGTCCTGTCGTCTCACTCATTTTCTGCTCTTCCATTTCTCTTCTCTGCTCCATCATTTAGTTGCACTCTTTCGCTTCCTGGTGTGTACTCGATGGTCTTTCCCTTTTCACATTTTTGGTAACCCTGTTAGCATCTAGAGGGATGCATCAGACCCACATACTTGGCCTGACCTCGGAAAGTCTGTCTTTGAGGACTCTGTGGTTCTTAGGTTTATGTAACTTTTCGTGCCGCATATTGGCAAAAGAATAATGGCTGACCTCATGCACCGAGTAACTGGTCAGGTTTTGGTTGTAAAACTGGTGTGGAGGACAGCAGTTTTCCGTAATGCGAGAAATGCTTCTGTTGTTTATGTTATCCCTTGTTTTTCATATTTGACCCTCAGCCTACCCTAATTTTTCATAGCTCGGCTACATAAGCCCAATTGTAATAATTGCTTGACATTTTTCGATAATTCGTCAACAAATAATATATTCCTAGAAAGAAAACGTTGTATTCATTTTTCGATGAGGGTATCACTGCAGAAAATCTCTCATAATCTGAACTTGGATGACTGATTAGGGGCGGGCGCTCGTGCGTCAGATATCTGGCTCAGGATGGGGGTTTAACCCGTGTGACAACATCTTGACCTTGCAGCCACTCTCTGCTTCTTATTAAGCTTTCCTGAGACTAGGGTGATTTCAGAGCCTCTCGCTGCCGCTTGCAGTTTGCATCTGGTTCTCTCTGCCTATTGCTTTATTAACGAAAATCTTCCTCTCTTGCCTCAAGTAAGATGAATACCAGAAGTCAGGCGTACATTAAAAGCGGCTGCGTCTTCCTATATCCTTGGTAAACTTGGAGTGCTGCCTGGAGTTGAGCACTGCCACTCCAAACACACAGGGTGCTGATCTTGTGTTGGAAAGGCAATGCAAGTGTACGGGAAATTTCTATGAAATTCTCATAACCTTTAAAGAATCCAAAGTTGAATACTAATTTTGTTCTCAGCATCATACTAATGACATTTCTATGACTTCAACCAAGTGATTCAGGCAATTTTTCATCCATGGACTTGGAATGTCGCATCAAAGCCTATCGTTTGGTCGCCTATTTGACGGTTGTTTTCTCGATGGTGGCAATCTTGTCTGTTTCCATCATGCTACCGATTGCTCACATACACGTCCACCAGATGAGGAGGGCTATGCACAAAGAGCTCGACTCCTGCAGGAAATCTGCCAAGGATATCAGCAGTGAAGTGAACCAACTCAGAAACCCTCCAGTCGCCAACAGGACCATCCGCCAAGCCGGATATGGCGATGCTGCGATTGTTGAAGTGCCTGCCAGCTTCCAATTTGCTGAGGCATCGGTTGTTCAAACTGGCGACCGCTGCGAGCTCTGTTGTGTTCCAGGAGTGCCTGGACCAGCTGGAGTTCCTGGTCAACCCGGCCGCCCTGGAAAGCCAGGAGCACCTGGCGTTCCCGGAATCTCAGGGCGACCACCACAGGAGCCCTGTGAGCCCATCACTCCTCCACCGTGCAGACCGTGTCCAAGAGGGCCTCCTGGTCCCGCGGGACCATCGGGACCCCAGGGCGACTCTGGAGCAAATGGACTTCATGGCAATCCTGGGAAGGATGGCGCCCCCGGAGCAGCCGGTCCCAAAGGAGCTCCTGGCGCTGATGGAAAACCCGGATTACCGGGTGCTGATGGCGAACCCGGAGTTGATGCTATATCTCTGCCTCTTCTTCTTCCTGAGCCTGGGCCACCAGGAGAGCCTGGACCACAAGGACCACCTGGGCCTGATGGAAAGCCTGGAGAACCAGGAGCTGATGGCAAGTTTCACACAAGAGTTTTACTTTATTCCATCTACGAGTTATTTATGATGTTCGCGACACTTTGTCATTTAGGCTTACCTGGACCGAAAGGAGAAACTGGAGCTGATGGCGAGCCTGGCGTTGACGGAAAGCCTGGTGCACCTGGAGAAAGCGGGCCAGTAGGAGCTGCAGGAGAGCCTGGAATTTGTCCAAAATACTGCTCTTTAGACGGTGGAATTTTCTTCCAAGACGGGACCCACGGCACTGAGGATCTCGTCCTAAAACAAAAAAGAGCATAAGTTATTATATTTATTTGCCAATGATGGAATGAACTTTTTTCCGAACAAAAAAAAGCTGTTTCAACGTTTTTAGAGATCTCATAGAAGGGCAGGAGCTGGTTGTTAATCTGGCAACGGCTGGCAAGTAGGTGTTCTTGTGTGCAGTTTTCTGGCACTACGGTGACCATTTCGCGTGTTTGCTGTAAAGAAACCTGACCATTGGCAGTTCTGGTCTTTATCGGATCGCGATTTATGAGGCGGTGGGAGGGTTTAATATGTTGGAAAAACCTAGTTTTCGGTAGGGGTGGTAGTGCTGAGGTGTAATGGACGAAGCCAAGTGCGTCCATGCAGGCAGAACACCTGGGGAGACGTTGCAGTGAGAACCAGCTTCTAAAGGGCAAATGCGTCAATATGGTCACACACGAGGATTTTTTTGGTCTGGAAATCCGGCCAGACACGATCATCAGTCAAAAAGCAAACGCAACCGCGTTGAAAAATCCCCTATCATCACGATATGAAGCAACCGCCATATATCGTCATGACATTGGCTTGGAATCAATCAGGATGACCACCTATGGAAAGGGATTGTCTCAGCTTGGCATAAATTCTTGTGCTTAGAAATAATATATGCATCCTGGTGAAAATTTTCGGAGGAAACGACTCCAGCCCCTGCCTCTCTCCCGTCCTACCTACTATATTACTCCTAGTAACTTGCTAACTTTTCCCAGCTTTCGACCAGTTTCCAAAAAATATCCACTTTTCACCAAAATTTTGCCGTCGAGGGGTGACGAGGTGGTCACCAACCAAATACTAATCTTATTTATCGGGAATACTAAATCCGCATGTTCTCGGTCGCTCCCTGAAGCGCAGTTGTGGGAAGAGCCGATGGCATCTTGTATGGGCGAGCTTGTATCCGAGAAAATTACGTCCCCGAGTGTCTTCCACCTGGAGCGCGTCCTTCAGTGGGTTCTCGGAATGGCATCTGCTCAGACCCCAGGAATAGAATCATGCCATTAAGTAAGTCTCTGCATGAATTCTGTCACTATTTTTGCAATAAGAGACCAGTCCCCCAACCTCGTTATAAGACGTCTGAGCTCTACCACTGCCGCCGTTTTCTTTTGCGCGTATGGGTGCTATGAGGTGCTTGATGGGCAAGAACCGGAGGTCTAGTGTGACTTTCATGCAGTGCAGTCACCTCGCATCGAATGCGAAAATACGCGCATCGCTACTCAAGCTAAAAGCAATCATCACTGCAAGCGATTAATTGTTCTGCCTCACAGGTTGTTCAAATAGAACCTTTATTAGTACCTAGGCCTTATGTACTAATGAAGATTCCATCAAAACAATCTCGTGAGGTGGAAGAATTAATCACTTACACTTAACATCCGAGGTTGCAAGAAGAGAGAAGCTGCAGAATCATCACTGCGTTGGTGGGGGAAGGGTGAAGGGAATGGCGGTAATAAGGCAACCTTCGCCGTCCACTATACACGGTGATTTGCCTCTTCATATTTCTGAAATGGGATAGCTGCTCTATCATGTGCACACCACCCCAGCAAAGATAAAAGTATTCTATACTGAAAGGTGCCAATGTATTTTTCACGGAAATCAGAACTCAAGACTTTATCGAGCCATCACTTGCGCAACTTGACAAATGGCTCGTACTGCTGTCACTTCCGTTATAAGAAGTGTATGGAAACCGAATAACCAGTAAAAAAGATGCACTATCTATGATGATTGTTCCTACAGAATTCCCATTTCATACTCTATGTGGCCTCTCACAAACAATTGTTGTGAACATCGCTTTCGAACGCATTTGTTCCAGGAATGAACCTTTTTCCTTTGGCAACGTGGTGAAGGATATTTTGTGACTCTACAGTTCATTAGACGAGAAAAGTTTCAAGTTTATTTGAAATACAAATCTCTGCATACACACACTAATCGAGAAGATTCACTCGTGAAGGAGACCTGATTTCGTTGAGGTCGACCTCCTCCATGTTTTCAGAGGGTTTCGTTTGTGTCACGTATGTGATTTCCGATGGACCAGGCGTCTCTGTGTATTCGGGTGGTCCCTCCACACGGAGAAATTGTGCCGGTAGTGCGGGTTTGCTTACTGGTGACGGCGGAGGATTCACTGGCGGAGCCATCAGCGATTCAGCATGGAGTATGGCCACTTCGGGATGGTCGACTTTTGGTGGCAATGGACCCGCTTCAACCTGTGCTGGTGAAGTCTGAATAGTGTGAGGAGATTCGGGAGTGTAGCGTGGAGGAGCACCGGGCACAAAGTGCTGATAGCTCACGTTCATCGTCGACCGCTGCCTGCAACATGAATTTATCAATCGGATAAATATTCAATTCACTACATTAATACCTAATAATTGGTGGAACAGTTTCAAATGAGAAGCCCATATTTCACAGTAGATTATAATCGAAATAAATTCAAATACTACAGCTCTGGTTTTTTAGTTCGAGCAACCATGTTGCACCAATACTTCGCTACAGAACCCATCTAGGAAACCAGCGGACAGCTGTTCAAAAAGGGTAAGGGTTCATTTCCAGGTGCGAGGGATTTTGTCTTTTCAAAGCAGAAATGAGAGCCCTGTTAACACCGAAAATGGTGAAGATGGTTTTTTTTTGGGAACCAGTGCAGGCTTCCCTTGGAATGCCTACATGAAAGCAGGAAAACAGAGCTAAGGGCCATGACAGAAGTATTCATGCGTAGGAGGAAAATCTGAGATTGCAATTCAAATGTTGAAAAACGCAAACGGTCCCTAGATTTCAATGTTCACGGTAACTTTCGCGATGAGCTGTCGAAAAAGTCGTAACTAACGCGGCTGAAAAACAGAAGTCTATTTGCATGCTGACCAACCCATAAAGAAAAGTAAAAGTGCAAGGAAAAGAACTTTCAGAAGCACCGTAAAGAAGATAGTCCTCGTTTCAGGGCAAATTCGTTGGGATTTCAGGCGGGAGATCAGACAAGAGCACCGAGAGAACATGCAAACAAATGGAACGACAGAAACCAGCGTCGGGCGGAGTCACTCGCTGGTAAAGTCACTTTAGCGCATTAAGATCCGCACTTCATAGCTTTCTAATTGGAAACTGGTGCAAGGCTGTCCAATGCGGCTCCATACTCTGACTTGATCGTTAGAGGTAGTCGTGAAATATCCACTGAATGGCACATCCCGATTCGATTGTTATGGGTCTGCCCAAAGAGATTCAAAAGAATGATCCTTTAGCTTCCGGCCTTTACTGGTAAGTTCTCTGTTTTAACTGGTTAAAAGGAATTCCAAAGCGATAGAAGTTTCATGATGGTTCAGTTAGTAGATTAAATTCGTATCGTAGGGCAATCAGGTCAGTTCCAGGTATTTTCAGGCCATCTACGTGTTCATGATGCTGTTCATAATCTTTGGAATGCTGGTTGGTTTGAGTTTTTTGCCAAGTTATAGACATAAGTACTGTGATGATATCATGGTGACAAAAACCACGAGTATGTCGTCGTCCACCACCGCCTCTTCATTGAAAACCAATCGAATAGGTAGGAATACATCGAATGAGATCGTAATTGATCAGTCTGTAGGTTGTATAAGCTCTATTCATTACTTCATGCGCGATCATTCAATAATTTAACTTAGTTACGGGGCATCCCTGGTCTGGGTGGGCTCGATCCGGTGGTCGATCTTTGGGCCGTGTTAAGCATGCCAGTTCCCTTTGCCCTCCGCTCGCGTTGATAATTAGGTTCGAAGAATCGCTACATTACAAAGGAAATCTGGAGTGAGATTTGCTGGCCCCCGCTGAACTCGAGCTGGTATATTGTTCTTCACTGAATGCGCATGCATGGCTTAAACTGCCTCTATATATTGAAATGGGCTTTGTGTGGGAGCCCGAACGCAAAACAGTTTCTAAATTCTCAAACTAAGATTTACCATGTATGTCCGATCTACAGCATCGTTGGAACAATCCCACCGGGAGATCGTATTTGATAAGTGAGGAGGAAGAAGGGGGGTATTTGGCCTCAGGTGAAATTTTTCCGCTTGTGATTTTTTTTCCGTTTTACACGCGTGTATACCACGATACGGTATGGAATGGGAAAGGAGGTAGAGTGCCAGTGGTACCAGAGCAGGAAGATCCGAAAGGGGGGGGGGAGGGAAGGAAGTACGGACACCGCCATTTTTTAAGCCTGAGTGCTGTTTCCCGAGTATATGCTGGCATTAGCGACATGATCGATTCCAAATTTTCAGCAAGTCCTCCATTACAAAGTGTGCCCACCGAGAGTGACGGGAACAATAATCCCAATTGTATACCTCTGAACGGAGCTTGTGAGTTGAATTTCTACCACTTCTCATTGCTTTGTGCCTCGTTGCTCTTCTAGGCCTTTTCTTATACTCCATTTTTCAGTTTGGGCGAGCGTCGGGGTGTCTGTGGGGCTTTCCATTCTTAGTGTGCTCATCGCTTGCATTCAGATTCGCTACACACTGATACTCTATAAATACCTGCGAACTCGCCAGCGGCAGTACGTTTTTTTTAGCTTTTCGTTTTTGATTTACCGGTTTCCTGCGATTGCTAGCGAGCTCACAATGAAAAGTTCAACATCAATTCAAGGCTAAAGGGCGTGACGTACTTCCACTTCATAGGCGCATCTAAGAGAGATGGACGTGGGCTGAGAACCACTGTACCTTCTCATTAGTGTGACGCTTTTTTTCCTAAGAGGGTAATGCGAAGGTGCGCTCTTTAGAGGAAATACACGATGGTTCCTTGTCTCCGCCCA